TCACGGCCTGTTACACACTGATACACACACAGTACTGTAATACTACACTGTACTGCAGTACTACAGAGCAGTATATAGCACTACAGAATACTACACAGCATTATGTACTACTACAGAATGTAGTAGTGTATAGTACTACAGAATATTATTCATTACTACACAGTACTACACAGTACTACAGAATAATACACAGTACTACAGAATAGTACACAGTACTACAGGGTACTACACAGATCAGCTGACAGGAGGTAAACAACATCACTAATTGATGAACTCGTAACTAAAGTTTTCCACAGTACTTCAGACTGTAACGTCTTTTAGTACCACAGAGTACCACAGAGTACCACAGTGTGCCTCCCCCTCAGACTGTGCTCTGAGCTACATCACAACCCACATTGTTCAGCAGGTATCTCTGGAATCTGAGCCAACCTGCCTGCTGCAGACACTCTCCTGTTTACCTGTACAGGTACAGAGTGTTCAGGTGAGCTCACCTCCTCTCGGGTCCTCTTCTCCTTCTCCACATCCTTCTGCAGCCTCTCAGCTCGTTCCTCAGCCTCCTCGGCCTGCTCCTGCAGAACCTTGATCTTCTTCTTAACGGCCTCAATGCTGTTCACACCTCCACTCATCTTCTTCTTATCCTGCAAACACAGCAGCTGATCAGGATGATGGAACCTTGTCTGAACCAGTAGGATCAATCAATCAAAGATCAATGCAACACACAACAAAACTGACTCCACCAGGTGTGTTCCAGTAAATGCACACATCTGATTCTGACGGTTTTGGATCCAGAGATCTAGCTGGGGATCAGTCTGTGGACATGTGATGATGTTGGTTTTATTATTGATCAGTCTGCTTATCAGTAACTTGGTCTTCAAACATCTCATTATATGTCAGATATACCTTAACCAAAAGCAATACCAAAATTACAAACCACGTGTCACAACTGAACCATCATCATTTATTCAGCACATAAATGTCTTGAGTTCTGTATCAGTAAACTTTTTCTCTTGGCAGTTCTTAATGTGCCCAACATCTATTATTTATATGAAATTAGATCAGACTCTAAAGTCAACTCTCTGCTCAGCAGCTGATGCATACACAAGATTCAGCGGCTTGACAAATATCAAGAATATTAATTCTTTATCAGTCAGGAATACGTGTGGTTTAAACATTAACAGATAATTACAGACTGTAGGTTAAAACACACAAGAGTTCAATCAGTGAATCACAGCTTGTGTATCAGATATTTTATTATAATGAAAAACAAAAAATAAAGTACTGATGGAAATCTCTTCACTGATTTATGAACATCAGGGTCACTAAATTACTGACGATCTGATCAGTGACTGAAGCTCAGACACAGAAGCAACTGTAAAGTCACTCAGATCTTTTCTTTCTGATGCAGAACCAGAACCAGCTGCTCCCCATTAAGTTCTAACTTAACAGTGTCTCAAAGGTGAGACCTGTGAGATGACAAGAAGACAGCAAACAGCTGAAGAAGAAAACACAGTTTGGATCTTCAAAGAACCTCAGAGGCGGAACACACTGAACATTATTCATTTGCTCAGAGCTGCAAATGACGTTTTCACTGACAATTAATGTGTGAATTATTACCTGGATTCATCAATCAGCTGTTTGGTCTCTAAAATGTCAGAAAATATTTTTAAAATGTGTATCATTGTTTCCTCGAATGTCTCGTTTTGTCCAAAGATATTCAGTTTGCTGTTATAGAGGAAAAAAGACCATCAGAAAATATTTACACTTAAGAAGACGAAATCACAGAATTTAGCCAGTTGTTAAAAAATACTCGAACGGATTAAGAGATGACCAAAAACAATTTGCAACTAACTGATGACTTCATAACTAAAGTTTTCCAGAATAATCTCGGAGCCCACAGACCAGCTGGGCTTCTGTGCGGGTCTTTCTTCCTTCTGATGACGTTTATTAAAGTCCGTTTAGAACATTGACATTAAATAAAGTTTATGCTTATTCGCCCCATTGTGTTTGATCAGTTACTGATCCATTACTGATCGATTTGTGTTAGCGTGTTAGCTCCTGATGCTAGCAAAGATCCCCGCCCTATTAGTCTGTTAGCTCAGCGTGCACAGACAGGTGAGGTGTACCTGTTTGATCTGCCTCACCTGTTCGAGTCTTCACAAGAAAACACAACGGTGGCTCGAGCCCTGTTCGCCTGACAGCGTCACTTCCCGGTTAGCAGCAGGTAGCTGTTAGCGGCTAACAGATTTCACAAACGGCGGCTGGCGGTGTTTCTGGAGCGGCGTGGACTGTGTGCTTCGTTCCTCCGGGTCAGAAAGTTCTGCACGGAGTTCTACTCTTTGGGTCTCCACGTTCTCCGGGTTCTCTAGGTTTTGCTCGGTGTTCTCTGGTTCTGCTTCCTCATCAGCCAACTCCCAGTTCAGCAGGACTCCTCCCTCTTCCGGGTTAAATTCCCTCCACAGGGCCTTACGTCACGTTCTTCGTCTTCTTCTTCTCACTGCAGCAGAGGCCTGTTGCTGCCCCCTACAGGTTGTTAGTAGAAGCACACTGATGTAACTAAAGGTCCAAGCTGGTTGTGCAGCTCGTGGAGCTTACATTAGCTTTGACTTAAGAACAGCGAGTGTACTGAGAATTCACTCAAATATTATGTAAATTAAACCTCAGAGAGAAAGTTACAAAATAAAAAGTCTCATTCTTCTTCTTGAAGGGGGCGGTGTCACCAGCAGCTCATTTAAAGCGATAGACACTGAAACTGTTTAGAATTGAAACCAGGGAGGAATCAACCATCACTGTTGGCTGGATTGAAAGATAAAACCTGCCTCTGTTCCTCTTTGCTGTTTGAAATTCCCACACTTTTCTCTTTCATAGAGCACCTCCAGAACCTACTTATAGATTTATACTCTCTTATCAGATTCTTCATCATCTAACATAAACATCCAGTGGTCCCTGTGCATCATTTAATAGTCTGGACTTACAGTATGTCACAAAGGTCAGTACAGGATTCCAGTGGCAACCTGTGAAGCTCTGGTGAACTCCATGCCCAAGAGGGTTAAAGCAGTGCTGGAAAAGAATGGTGGCCACACATAATATTGACACTTTGGGCCCAGTTTGGACATTTTCACTCAGGGGTGTACTCACTTTTGTTGCCAGCAGTTTAGACATTAATGGCAGTGTATTGAGTTGTTTTGAGGGCACAATACATTGACACTGTTATACAAGCTGTACACTGGCTACTTTACATTGTAGCAAAGTGTAATTTCTTCAGCGTTGTCCAGTGAAAAGATATACAATATTTGCAGAAATGTACATACTTTTGTGACATACTGTATATTATTAGATCTGATCTGACTCCATCAGTGCTGCAGGAGAATCTGAACATAAAATGATCTGTCATAGTTGAACTTCCACAGGATCCCAAGCTCTGATATCAAGACTGACAAATGACGTAATATCTGCCGTCCATGATCTATCTGTTCATGTGGAACACTTGGTTCTATTGCAGCTGTTCTGTTGTCCAGATTCTGGGAATCATTGATGTAAATCTGAACAAATTATCTAGTCAAGAGCTGACAGCACTGGATCACCTGCACCCTTCATTCACTCTGACATGGAAATGTCAGGTTCAGACAGGAACCACAGTGGAACAGGTGGAACAGGTGGATCCGGTGAAACAGGTGGAACAAGTGGAACAAGTGGAACAGGAATACCTTGTGGAACAGGAGAAACAGGTGGAGTGGGTGGAACAGGAGGAACAGGTGACCAGCTGACTGCTGGGTCCATCCTTAAACCTAATTCTCCCACCTCCTGCTCTCGTACTTGCATAGTTTACTCAAAACCTTCTCCTGACTGTTCCAAATTCTCTGAAGTTTACAGTGTTCCGACAACAAACACTCAGCAACTGTTAAGAATTTAGAACTGTGCAGCAGCTTCTTCTCAGCTCAAACGTGGTTCCCTTGCTTCAGTTCAGACAGCATTAATAGGTTGTTTTAAAGAGTAATACATGTTCTCAGTTCTTTGGCCGGCATCACATCTGAACTCTTCACAACAGAAAGAACCATACACCCATTATAACATTCATGCTCCTTGTCTGCTCTCCAGCTGGTTCTTTATCTGATTCACACTTTGGTTCTCTACATGCAGGGTTCTCTGCAGGTACCTACCCTCCATGTTGTTCTCTACTCAAAGCAGATACCCACAAATCTGAATGTTTTAACTCATTAACAGGCTGGTCATTCAGCTGGAGGTTCTGCTGTGATGCCTCCTCTTTAAAAACACCACATATTTTGACATTGTGGAATTTCAGAACCTCATTCCTCTGCTCCTGTCTGGACCTTATTGGACGCTGCTTCAGCTGCAGGTGAACGTGGTCTAAATGTGTATGGTGCCATATATCATAAAGCAAAGTAGGCCAATAACTCTTCCCTCCCATTAGTTGTTCAGTCTTCATCAGATGCAGCCTGTCCTGCTCTTTTTTGGATCGTACCATCTGTCAGAATGATCATGATCCAGTCTAGTGTTCTACTTCGTTCTCAGCATCATACAGCTTCACCCCTAAACCCTCCTTCCACTATCATGTGTTTTTTCAGGGTCAAGAAGTCAAGAACTGTGTTTGCTCTCTTGATGTCAAAGCTAGTCCATAGTGGATCGTCCTGCATCCAGTCTGAAAGTGATGGAACATTCGTTTCTGCAGAGCATTCGTCTGTCTGTAACCAGATGCTCTATTATCTGACGTCCTACAGCAGTCTGTCTATTGGACAGTAAGAACAGATCTCTGTAAAAAGACCACTGCTGAGTGTTTGACCAGGTTCTCTGACTGCGCTAATTAATAATCAATAAAACTGTAATAACAATTTAGACAGATTTAAAATAAAAACACAAAGAACAGCTGATTAGATTTATAAAGTCAGAGAAATACAGCAGGAATCAATTACACTGATCAGAAATCAATACAAGCACTTCAGTCAACTTTACAGCTGTTAAACTGAGCTTAAATGAAACATTACAGCAACACATCTGGACGTCACAGCGTCACATCTGTCCACTGGTGTATTTAAACCCCCAGAGTTAAAGTATAAACACTCAGAAATTATTTGGACCCTGATGTTTTAACAGACTTTAGACAAACAAGACAAAAGGCAGCGTTTTAAAATGAGGAAAATCTTCAGAGTTCATGCTGATATACTTCATTTTTTTTCTTGGTCATGTTTAAGACAACAGGATGATTCACGTTAGGAAGATAAAAGTTAAATCTTAAAACAGGAGATCATTTCATCCATGAATGTAAGACACATTTTGTTAACGTGAAAAATATGTCATTGACAAACATTAATAGTGTTTATGTTGAAACACGTCAATCAGAGCTGAATACAAACTGTTGGGTCACATGTTTCATGTCATGTAAACTCCTCACTGCAGGTCATGTTTCCATTATCGTCATCACCGTCACACAGAGAGCAGACTCAGTGGTGTCCATGGTTACAGTGTCCATGGTGATGGTGTCCATGGCAACAGTCTGCACCAATCTGAGTGTAAATTGAAACATTTGGACGTTTTGCAGAAGTTAAAAGTTCAAATTCATGGATCTCAACATGTCATCATGTTTTCTACATCAATAAAAGGTCCTTCATCAGGCGAAAGCATCATCATCAGGAGGAGCTGACCTCTTAACCTCCCAGGCGTTACAACAAACCAGCTGATTGGTCAATTAAACCAATGTCCTACACAAGTATAAAAGACACAGTCATGCTAACATGCTAACAGACAGGAAGAGCACCTGCTCTTTAATAAACAAACCTGATCTACGATTCAGTTCAAAGTAACACGACCCGAACCCTCCCTCTGTAGTTACTACACCTCCCAGTTCTCCCAGTCCTCCCAGTTCTACCAGTCCTCCAGCTCATGAAGCTCTGAGTTTCAGGTTTGTTCAGACACCAGGTGAACTCAGTGCACACAGTCAGTTAAGTTTACCTGTGGAGTAAAAGCTGGACGTTCGGTCTGAACAAACTGAGATCTTTTGTTTTTATGCTGTGAATCAAACTTAAACATTTGTTTTCACTTTGTCCCCATGTTCAACAGATTTTTGGTTTCACGTATAAAGAAAAAGAAAAACACAGATTCTTTTTGACTAAATATTCTGACGCTAAATGTCCACAAACAGAACCAAATGTTTCTAAGACTAGACTGACTTTGTACGTTTCTGTATAAATAGCAGATTATAATCTCTGAGTCTCCACTGACAGCAGGCTGTGACTGTAGATCCAAAGGCATCCTGGGTAATGTAGTGTGGTGACCGTTAATGTGTCTCATCAGGCTAAATAAATCTGTCTGCATCAAACAAACTGTCTGCTGAGGAACCACAGTGATCTGGATCAGAACAGCACCAGGTCCGGATACTGTGTTTACTGTCCGTACAGCATAAATTCACGTATCGTGTAGTTCTGCGTTCTGTCCAACATGTGAACTGCTGTTTACTGCTGGTGCTTGTCACACTGGTCCTCACAAACAAACAAAACAAACCAACAGAGACTACATTAGACTCTCAAAGACCTGAAGGCATTAAAACTGAGGCAACTCGGCGAGAACTCAGACAGCGAGGACTCTTAAACAATGAGGACTCTTAAACAGCAAGGGCTCGGACAGACTCTCGAGTGAATACCTGACCAGGTTTGTTTGAAGCAGACAGAGACTTTAAACTGAACTTTGGAGGCAGAAATGTTAACCATCTGTATCAAATCCAACCCACCAAAACAACCCTCCAATCCCCAACAAATCCAATAATATATGTTATACCCAATAAGATCCCTCCCTTTAAACTCCACCCACTCCAGCACCTGTGGGCGGAGCTCCAGCAGACATGATGATGTAAACAGGTCACATGGTTATACTTCCTGTTTCTAACCTAACAGCAACGTTCAAAAACGTTTGAGGAACAAAAGTTGGCCAGCTGAGATCTGATTTGGTAAAAACTCCAAGACAGTAAATAATGTCGTCTCCAGCTCCTTTCACAATGTCTGTCTGTGACATCACAGCAACAACACAGTGACACCAGCAGAGGTCCCTGAGGCCATCAGGTGCAGGTGTGACGTTAACTCTCGCTCTCCTCCGGGATGTCCTGCAGGTCTGAGGGGTCAGAGGTCACAGGTTACCATAGTGTCTGATCACAGACCGATCAATGCAAAAACATCTGGTATGTTTGATCATAATAACACAGTAAACAATACTTATTCCAATCATTTAGTCATGATCAATGACAGTTATCAGCTGTTTGCACTGACCTCTGGGACTGTCAGAGCGAGGAGAAATCTTCATCACTTCCTCCTCTTCCTCCTCATTTCCTTCATGGACACCATCTAATTGGTCAGTTGGATCCTGAGTGGCCAATGGGGCAAGGGGGCGGAGCTCCAGCTCCCTGCTGCCACGCCTCCTGTGAACCTGCTGACAAACACAGCTTAACTGTTACAAAAATTTATGATAGTTTAGCTATAATTTGCTACTGTTAGTGTTACTTTACTTGGGTTCAGTTTAATCTGCTTCAGTTTATTCTGGCTCATTTTATCTATTTCAGTTATCTGTTTGAGTTTAATCTAGGTCAGTTTATCTGTTTTTGTTTAACCAAGTTGGCTCGACAAAGATTAAAGCTCCAGTCAGAGCTCACGTATATCAACTGTCTTTGTCAACTCAGGCTTTCTGCTTCAAATTCTGTGTACGTTCAAATAAAAGAAGGCGTTTAACGCGTCGTGAGACTCTTCTTCTCCACAAAATGAAACAATCGTGCATAGCTGCTTCAGTCAATAAATTGTTTTAATAGGGAACAATGAGGAATATAAACATTTATGATGGTAAAAAGCACCGCTACTGCAAATGATGCAAGACAGAGATGCTGGTAGAAAGCTGTTAAATGTGTTAATATATTTATTTTACAGATCAATGCAGCTGCTGATTTCTAACTGACAGCTGCACATTAAAACTGTTAAGCTTTAAACTTCATATATTTAAACATGATATTGTATCAAAGTGCACTGTCCCATAATGTAGGATCTCACTGTAATTTTTGGCCAAATCAAAGTGAAATCAATATTACTGATTGAAAATTCTATTTAATAAATACCAGTAGAATAATCAATTTTCTAATCTGTGTTCTATCAGCTGCAGAATCAGCATGTAAACAGACTTGACATCAAATCAGAGCCAAACAAAAAAAGCATGTTTATGTGATTTCTGCGTCACCAACTAAATAAAACTAAAACCTGGGTTCAGTGGCAACATGATACATACAGTGTGTGATACTGTAACTACACGGCATCAGTCAGTGATATTAGTAACACACAACTCAGCATTTTTATAGATAAAACATATTCCCTCAGCTGAGAATCTGTATCGCTCATAGAGAATTGTCAGGAAATGATTTGGTTAAAGGGAGACACATTTTCCAGCTGCTTTAAATCTCGAACTCTGAGCATAACTTGCTCTCGACCAGGTTAACTCCACAGCATAAGTTTCCATGGAGGTCTAGCAGATAAAAAGAGAGCCACCTTTGTGACACGGAAAACTCTGACTTTAGGCTCAACACACCTCACTAATCAACTAATCTTACTTCGTAGTACCACCCTCTGGTTCTGTTTGTTTTGGCTCTGTTAGTTCATTTTATCCTGATCCAATTCAGTCTGGCTCAGTTTATCCTTGTTCTGTTTATCTTGGTTCATTTCACCTAATTCAGTTCATCTGTTTCAGTTTAACCTGGTTTATTTTAACCTGGTTCAGTTTATCCTAGTTCCTTTTAACCTAGTTTTGGTTATCCTGGCTCATTTCTCCTGCTTCAGTTTATCGTGGTTAATTCTGTCCTGGTTTATTTTAGCCTGTTTCAGTTTATCCTGGTTTATCTTATCTAGTACAGTTTACCTTGGTTCTTTTTAACCTTGATTAGTTTATCTGGTCCAGTTTTTATAATATTCTACACTACTCACTTGTTCTCCCTTGATGACGTCGCTGATCTCTCCATTGCTGCTCCTCCTCCTTGATCCCGCCCCATCTCTGACTGACTCCTCCCCTCTCAGACGCAACCGTGTGACCTCTTCCTGCAGCAGCTCCACCTGTCTTCGTAGCAGCACAGCATCTCCGCCGGCATCCAGCCCGGTGTCCCGTGACATCGACCGGCTGAGGCGAGGGCCAGAAACAGAACCAGAGCCAGTGGAGGGGACGGAGCCTGTGCTAACTGACAGCTCCAGGATTGAATCCTGACGAATCACAGCAGCCTGGGGGCGGAGTCAGTGGGTATTTGACACTGTTTATCTGTGTTGTGGTTATATTTCACTCTGGTTCTATACTTTCTTATTCTGTGTTTTTACTGTATTGATGTACATATTGATGTAGTTTCATTTTCCAGCAGACAAACTTCCACCAATGGTTCGATTGATCTCATGCGTTATTATTTAATTATGAACAAACTAATGAGTTACTGTAGTGACTAAACTGCAGATTGGTATCTGACCTGCAGGGCATGGAGCTGCGTGCTCAGGTTGACCAGTCGCTGGCGGACTTCCTGTGGAGAGGACACATGACAGCTGTTAAACACTCTGATTGGACAGAAACCAGGAACATCTCAGTTAAGGTTACTGCGGCTGGATCACAACTGGACAACAGCTAGATTATAGCCCAGCCTGCTCTCTGCTCTCTGACTGCTGGGAGTTTGGATTTGATTCTTAATTTATGGCAAGAGAGTTGCTGTTTTCTGTTACTGATGCCATTAAATCCAGTAATACAGACAAGCAGCAAGCTGGTTTGAGTTTTAGGTTTAGTTGTAGATTTAGTTGTAGGTTTGGTTGTGGGTTGAGTTGTGGGTTTAGTTGTGAATTTAGTTGTAGAGTGAGTTGTTGGTTGAGTTGTATGTTGATTTGTAGGTTAAGTTGTGGGCTGGTTTGTGGGTCAGATGAGGCTGAGGGTCAGTCAGAAAAAGAACAGAAATTAACCCACTGTGGTCGGGAAGAAGAAAGTCTTCGTTACCTCGTTCAGGGTTCGTTCCTGCAGCTGGTTACCATTTCTGTCCTGAAACACAAAACATCAGAAAAGAATAAGACAGATGTTCTGTTGGACAAACCTGCAGCAGTCTTGTTTTGTTAGTTAACATGAAGAGTCCAGTCTATCACAGACTACAACCTGGATAACAAACATGAACTACAATCAACACCTTTTAGACAACCCAACAGAAATTGAAAGAGGAGAGGCTTTGGAAAAGTAGAAGTTTTGGCAGAGCTGTTGTGAGATATATATATATATATATAATTATTATTCTTATACATAAGGCTGTTCGGCCACATTTTTTTCTTCTTTATACATGTGGACCTTTTCATAATTTGATTCCTGTCATGTGATGTGTGAACAGCTGCTCTGAAACTACAACCACAGACCAGTTCAACATCTGTGCAACTGCAGACAAACATTCTCCCAGGATTTTTCATGATGGACACAGACTTTGTTAACCACATCTCTGGACTATAGGTCTGTGCTACTCATTAACACCTGAAATACGAGAACTTTGAGCATCTCCATACTGGAACAGCTGCAGGTAAAAGATCAGGAGGTGAACCAGGTGAAGCCGGTCCTTTGAATCTGCTGAGGAAACTCAGTTTGAAAGTCAGAGAAATATTTGATCATCTGCCTGCAGATCTCACTTAAAGTTAAAAACACATTTGACCATGTGAATAAAATACCAAACGCATTCAGCATCACCCTCAGGTCTGTGTAGTGACATGTAAAGAAACAAGTCCTCGATTTCAAAAAACCCTGAAAACCTTCACACTGGCAGCTGATCACATGACAAACATCATAAACAGAACTAACATGTTTAATACAACCTGTGATCACAGGTGAAGATGGACTTACCTTGGAAGAGCTGCTGTTCACCTCAAAGGAACCATTCAGAGAACCAGAGTCTCCATCTGAGAGGAAGACAGACAGGCAGGTAAGGACAGAGAGACAGACAAGTACAGACAGGTAAAGACAGACAGGTGAGTCTAACAGCTCCATCTGTCAGATGGGAACAATCTCCATCAGGTTAACTTAAACGTACAGAGGTTGATCAAAAAGTTAAGAGCCTGTTCTCACAAAGGGCATCACAGTTGTTTGCTCCTCTTCCTCAAAATTAAATCCAGTCAACGTTTCTCTGATTGGACTCAGTCTAGCAGAGCATAACTACACAAAGAAACACTTCAACAGTAATGGAGGGTAAAATTAATAAAGATTAGATTTTTTATTAGCACAGTCTATGACCTTTTTGAACAACCTGTGTATAGTAAGTAGGAGACAGGGTGAGGAAACAAAACAGGTGCCAGGTGTCAGATCACAGGTGACACAGGTCATGTGACTTACTGCTCAGGTCCTGGTTGCCATTGGTTACGTTGGTTACGGAGGACTTGTTGATGCTGCAGCCTGACAGCAGCTCTGTCAGCTTGTCAACTGAAACAGAAAACAGGATGTTCATTTCACTGTGATTTAGCTTGAAACTGAAGCTCCACCCCTAAACGCCTCCTTACCTTCACCGATGGCATTGAGGAGCAGCGGCTCGGCCTGAGGTGTGTGAGAAGTGTCCGATCTGAACAGGTTCCTGGAGGAGGAGGTTTTGACCTCCACACCTCCATCTTCTTCTTCTGTTCCTCCTCTGCCTGTCGCCTCTACCAGGTCAGAAAACAGTGTGACGCGCTCCTGCAGGAGCTCCAGCACCTCTCGGTCCTTCTGCTGGATGTCCGCTGGGAGGACGACAAAACGTGCAATCAACATGTGGATCAGAGAGATGATGTAGCAGGAGGTGTACAAGTGGATGTAGTAGTACGTGAAGAATGAAGAGTTGAAGTAGATGAAGTAAAAGTGTAGCAGGAGATGTAGTGGTAGATGTAGTAGTAGGTGAAGTAGGAGGTGTAGTGGTAGGTATAGTAGGAGATGATGTAGTAGTAGGGTGAGCAGTACCTTTGAGTCTGCGCAGCAAAGCCTTGTCTTCAGTCTCGATGAGAGGAAACTCATCTCTGGATGGACAACTGAAAAAAAACATGACATTGAGTACTAAATACCGTACTACACTGTATGTACTGACAACTACATACCATAATACTCTGTATGAAAGACTACCAACTGCACTACACTGGATGTATAATCATAATAATATTTGATCAGATTTATAAAGCGCTTTTCTAACTCAAAGAGTAACTCAAAGACGCACACACTGTCAGTTATTCTTTCACACACATTCATTCTGGTGGTGGTAAGCTACGATTGTAGCCACAGCTGCTCTGGGTAAGACTGACAGAGGCGTGGCTGCCATTCTGCGCCTCTGGCCCCTCCGACCACCACCTCAAACAATCCCTTCATATGCATTCACACCACACAAGGTGGGTGAAGTGTCTTGCCCAAGGACACAACAACCATGAGACAGGTTACAGGGCAAAATCGAACCGTTGACCTTCCGATCATTGACCGACTTGCTCTAGCACCTGAGCAACAGCTGTACTGAGAATGACACAGTGTACTACATTATATGTACTACAACTACCAACTGTACTACACTATACATACTGAGAACAACATACTACTATGTTGTATGTAAAGAGTACAACATACTGTACGCCACTGTACATACTGAGCACTACATACTGTACTGCAGTGTACAGTGCAGTAGTACTCAGTACTTTGAGTAGGGATTACTGCAGTACTCACCTGAGTGCAGCCTGCTGGATGCGGCTCATCCACGTGCGTCGGTCATCTTTGGACGAAGTGTGCAGCTCGTACATCTCTGGAGGGGAGGAGTTACTGATCAGGTACATCCCTCGCTCCTGATTGGCTATGTCTCTGACGATCAGTTTATTCAGCGACACCACTGGAGACTTGTCCTAGACACACAGGTGGAAAGGTGAGACGGACAGATAAAAAGACAAGTGAGACAGGCAGACAGACAGATGAGAGAGACAGCTAGTCCTGTCTGTATGTTCCATAGTTCTGGAGGACTTTAATAGTCAACAACAACAGAGAAACCTTAACACAAGTGAGCAGAGGAAGGTCTTAATCTGACACTCAGGTGAGACAAATTATATCAGGTGTGACTCACCAGTGATGCGAAGGTGAACTTCTGGTCTTTCTCCTGAAGGAAAACCAGGATGTCTGACATCAGCAACACCTGCACATCTGGAGACAAAAACAGCATAGGTGTCAGGTGTTAGCAGGTTTAAGCTCCGCCCACATATATGTAACTCCTCCTCCTTCTCACCCTTCATTCTGGAGCCCTGGACCTTCCACTGCAGTGCCCCCTCAAACAAAAGTCTCCTCCTCAGCAACTCTCCTCCTCTAAACACTCCTCCTCCACGGACCTCCGCCTGGGCCCGTGGATCCAGCCGGGCCTGGATCTCCTGCAGCCGCCTGGTCCGGTCTAGCTCCAGAACTTCCTGGTCCACCGAGCTGATCAGCTCCTTCAAGAGGCTTAAGGCCTGACTCAGAGCCTGTGCCTCCTCCTCGTTTCCTGCAGGGAGTCATTAAAAGTCGGAGGTCACTAAATGTCGGAGGTCATTAAAGGTCAGAGGTTGGTAAAGGGCAGGTGATACTAAAGGTCAGAGGTTGTTAAAGGTTATTAGGTTATTAGGCAAGAAGTCTTCAAAGATCAAAGGGTATTAAAGGTCAGAGGTAATAAAGTCAAAGGGTATTAATTCTTAGCAAAAGTCAGGATTGTTGAAGGTCAGAGGTCATTCAAGGTCAGAGGTCATTCAAGGTCAGCAGTATCAGGTTACCTTTGGTGTTGTCGAGGATTCGTTTAATGAGGACGGGATACTTTGTGATTCGCTGTGTCACCAACAAGATGCACTCTTGTATGCCATGACGACGCAGAAGAGGACCACGACAGACACGCTGAGCATTGTGGGATAGACAGAGACATGTGGTTAATGTCAGCACAGTAATAGCAGCTGAAAACAGTTTAAAATGCATGTAAACCAACTTAAATTGGTTGAAATCAGGTTTGGTTCTAGTTAAACCAGGTCTACACTGGGATAAATCTGTCTATATCTGGGTAAACTAGAATAAACCAAGTCTTTATGAACTCAGCTGAACTCAGAGTGTAAATGTAAACCTGCTCCAAACAAGATTCAGAAGGTCTAAATCAGGCGAAGGAAGTCCAAACTAGATTTTAGCCCAATCCAAAAACAAAACCAGAATCATGCAGAAAGCTAAATAAATCAAACCAGGCTTAAACTGCATCTGAACCAAGGTTGACCAGTTTGAACCAGGTTTAAACAGGATCTAAACAATTTTAGACCAGTCTGAACCAGTGTAGACTGGATGTGCATCTCACCCTGACAAACTGCTGGAGCCTTCGGTCTCGAGCTAAAACTTCCTTGTAGAGTTTCACAGCTTTGGGGTGTCGACTGCAGAACTCTGAGTAAAGTTTCTTCATGTCGTCTGCACACTGGCCTGAAAACTACATACAGATACAGAAATGACTACATACAGGATATGAAGTCAGATTTAGATACACACACACACACACACACACACACACACACACACACACACAAACACACACACACACAAATATATAGATAATACAGTATCTACAGTATATATACACAGCTGTGAACAAAAGTTTACATACACTTATAAACATATATATACTTTGTACATTGCTGTATGTATATTTTTGATCCAGCAGAACAGAAAATGAAAGAATCTAAATTCATAATGACAAGACTCATGTTTCAATTAGGAAATTCAGAGTTATAGAAGTCATTGGAAACTTGAGACTGCCATGATATACATGGTCTTTGCAACTGTGCATAACGATGAGTATATATATATATATATATTTGTTCTCTGTTACCTGTCTGTCTGTCTGTCTGTCTGATACCCATCCGTAAATAGTAACCTGGTGTAATACAATAAAATGATCCTGATGAAGGAACAGCATCCTCAGCAGTGACTGAAAGTGTCCACCAGGCTGCGCTGTGTACTTGCTCAGGTGTGCAGTTGAGGCTTGGTTCTCTGTTACATGTTGATGCTGTTTCACTAACACCTTTTTACCAGTGGGTGAGTGTAAAACGCCTCAGATGTCACGCCTGTGCAGTGACGGGACACCTAGACGTCACCTGTGCTGCTGTACCTGTCGAAGCAGCAGGTCTCCCAGACGGCGGACTGTGAAGTTGGTGGCGCTACCCTCCGCTAGTCCCTCCTTCCTCCTGCTCAGCAGCTCTGACAGAAAGCTGGAGTGGAACTCCAGCAGCTGATCCAGACAAGGGAAGATGGTGTGCACCACACCCGCCTCCAGCATCACCTCCTCCAGCATCCCTCGCCGGTACACGCCCTCCATGATCCGCAGAGTCCGGACATGGTGGAACTCCGTTTGAATCAGCTCTGTGGCAGAGAGACACATGGACAGTCAGCTCTGTTAGTTTTTAAGAAAAAGAGATACACAAAGACATGTCCATGACAACAGATTGTCAGGTGGAGATCTTGTTGTATATCTGTTGCATGTATGTTGTGTGTTGTATATAGGTTGTGTATATGTTGTGTATGTTGTATATATGTTGTATATACATAAGTTAGATGTTATATATACGTTGTGCATATGTTATGTATTCATTCTGCACATGTTGCATATATGTTTTATATACAGTACCAGTCAAACGTTTGGACACACCTTCTCATTTAGTGGTTTTTATTCATTTTAATTATTTCTACATTGGCGATTAACACTGAAGGCATCAAAACTATGAAAAAACAATAAGTAGTAGTAAACAAAAAAGTGTTAAACACTTCAGAATATGTTTTATATTTTAGATTCTTTAAAGTAGCCCCCTTCTTGTTTTGATGACAGCTTTGCACACTCTTGTCATTCTGTCAATCAGCTTCATGAGGTCGTCATGAGATGTTGTGTCCAAAGTTTTGACTGGTACTGTACTTTGTTTTTATGTTGTATCTATGTTGTGCATATATGTTGTATATATATTTTATATAGTTGGGTATGTTGTATAAACGTTGTGTATATGTTTTATATGCTGTGTATATACATTGTGTATATATTGCATAGACATTGTATATATGTTATGTATATGCTGTGTACATTATTATATATGTTGTGTATATGTTGTATATGCATTGTATTGTTGTATACACATTGTGTACATGTATGTTGTAAATACATAATGCAAATGCTGTATATAAGTTGTGTACATGTTGTATATACATTATGTTCATGTTTCTGTACCGTAGATGACATCCTGCTGCTTGATCAGGTCTTTGTGCAGCGTCTGCAGAAAGTTGGGCTCCACAGCGAGACTCCAGCTGTCGGCCTGAACACAGCTTCCCTCCACCTGCAGCTCCTCCAGCAGGGGGCTCCACCACCACTCACCTGCACAGGGATCAAAGCTTCATGAGGAGCTACAGAAAATACCACCTCAGACAGTAGTGTTACTGAGGGCTGAGCAGCAGTTCTCAATACATCAACTGATATTCTGATCAATAAAAAGTGATTGACCCACCGTCATCAGTGAGAGACTCCATGGACAAAGTTCTGCTCCTGAAGTTTAGAGACTCCGTGGACTGAGATAGAATCCTCCTGAGACCTACAGAGTCCTCCGTCCCACTGTGAACAGACAGAGAGACAGGTAAGTGTTACGCCAGTGAGACGGACAGACTGAGCTCGATCTCAGCCAGAAACATTGCTCAGCATGTGGTACATGCACACATCATGTTGACGTGATGATGCAGGAGCATCTTCTCCTCTCAGGTGGAGTCCAGAGTCACTAACACGACAGTTGGTCGCAGGTGAATGACAGATCAACAGACAGATGCAGCGAAAAGAATCAGGATGATACGACATGAGGCAGGTAGAGCTGCTGTCAATACGATGCTTAATGTTGACGTTATCCAGACTTATCCAGACTGATGCTCATGTTTCTCTTTGTGTGTGAATATCTATTTATTCATTCAGGAATCTGCATCAAACTGAGAAATGTTGGATTTGTTCTCTGAATGATACTGTCACCACAATCTTGCAATGATCTCTCCGCTCAGCCTCACCCGGCAATGTTATTGGTGGAGACGCTCTTGGCGAGTGAGAGGCCGGATCGAACCCGTCTGGACCCGAGCAGTGACTGACGAAGGCTGTCTGAGGGATAGATGGCCGAGCTCGGACGTTCCTTCATCATCGGAGCTGCAGAGAAAAAGAAACATAACACTCATTGGAATGAAATTAAAACAAAAAGAAACACAGAAGAAGAAAAAGTTTGTCATCACATTTGAGAATAAACAAACTGAATCTTATGACAGATGACATCCTGACAACAAAAATCCTGATCCTAGAATGCACCTGGACAGTGACTGTGGTAGAGACAGACAGGTAGAGACAGACAGGTAGAGACAGACAGGTAGAGACAGACAGGTAGAGACAGACAGGTGGACTCACTTTTGGTCCGCAGGGCAACGTTCTGCAGAGCTGAACTGTTTCTTACCAACGCCAGCTTCTGTTGCTGTTGGAGACACAGACAGACAGGTGCAGACAGATAGGGAGTCAGTTTGTCTCTGCATTGAAGATCTAAGAAAGGTAAAATGTGAAAAGTAAAGACAGTCTTACCCTCTGTTTCATCTTGGCACAGCTGGCCAGACTGTCTCTGCAGCGGTTGTGGATGGTGACATTACAGGCTGTGAGAGAGACAGGTGGACAGAGAGACAGACAGACAGACAGACAGACAGACAGACAGACAGAGAGAGACAGGTTAAAAAACGCTTAGACCATCCTGATCTTTGAGATCAGATCAGAACATTCAAACTTAGAACCTTTTCCATGACTCCTGGAACTTCCTCAAGGAACATTAAAACCTCTAGAAATCACTCACACACACACACACATGCACACACAAACACACAGACGCACATAGACAGACACACAAACACACACACGTAGACAGACGTGTACACACACACACACACACACAAACACACACACGCGTAGACAGACGTGTACACACACACACACACACACACACACACAAACACACACACGTAGACAGACGTGTACACACACACACACACACACACACACACAGTGGTATTTATAACTGTGTGTCTGTTTTGGTTCAGTGATGAAATCATCTGGAAAAAGTGAAGTCACGTTTATTATAGTAAATGAACGTGTGTGTGTTACTGTGTGTGTCCGTCTGCGCGCGTGTGTGTGTGTTTGTATGTGTTACTGTGTGTGTCTGTCTGCGTGTGTGAGGCAGTTTCTTCCTAAAGGGGGCGGCAACGAGGCAGTTTCTGCCCTCAGGGGGCAGTAACGACATCAGCTGGTTGACATATTAACACACACAGTAATACAAAGTCAGCTGAATCGGCTTGGATTGACTCTGATTCTGAAAGTGTGTGTCTTTGTGTGTGTATGTGTGTTAATGTGTGTGTCCTAGATTGTGATTGGCTGCTGCAGATGAACCCTGAGAACTGGGTCGAGGGGACACATGTGTCTTACAGTGTGTGTGTGTGTGTGTGTATGTGTGTGTGTGTATGTGTGTGTGTGTGTGTGCTAATCTGAAGATACATCTGTTCATTGTAAAGGAGGATTAACACACCGTCTGTCACACTCACAGTAGACAAAGACTCCATGCACCATGTTGTTGGTTTTCAGAGTGTCATAGAGAACAATGACCAATCAGTCAGCTGATCAATAACCCCCAATCACATTCTGCTGCTGCTTCAAAACAAAAGCCTCTTTTGTGGAACCACGGGGAGACAAACACTGACATACAAATTAGAAAGATGTGATCACAGAAACTAGTCCACCTGTGACTTCCAATCAGTCTAACTGCATAAACATGGTTCTAAAATGAGCTGTGAACAGCAGAACTTTCTCAGTTTTGGACCTATGGGCTGTGTCCATCTGCATATCAAGAACTGAACAGAGGAACTGAAAAATCTGACTGTGAGACTTTACAAAAATAGAAAAGGATCCGGGAAGATCAGTGAGAAGCTGAATATCAGTGAAACACTGTGTCAGCAGTAATCAGGAGGTATAGAAGGATCCATAGTACCACTAATCAGAGCTGCAGTGGTGGTTCTCCTAAAATGACTCCACAGACAGTGAACAACTTCCTCAATCTGCTGTGAAAAACAGATGGCAGCTGCTTCAGACTTGGCACAGGGGTTATCAGTGGAAATCAGAGTGTCTGTGAAGCTCGGACAGAATGAACGACACTGCAGAACATCAACTCTGACGGACGGAGGACAAGAAAAAAAAATAGTTGCTGCTCAGAACAAAACTCATAATGAAGGTTTGCTAAAGAAAAGGAAAATAAGTCTGAGGAATGTAAGGAGAACATTCTGCGGTCAGATGAAATGAGACCACAATAAATTAGCTGGGGTCAGATGGAGTCCAGCATGTTTGCTAAGAACCTGACCAGGACGACTACAGTGAATGCATAGTCCTGACAGTGAAGCATGGAGGTGGAAGTGTGATGATATGGGGCTGCATGAGTGCAAAAGGTGTTGGGGAGATGACATTTATGGATGCACTATGAATTTCTGTGGAAAAACCAAATACTGGATGTGTGTATGTTACATATATGCTGTGTGACTGTTGTGCTGACGTTACCTGGGCAGCTTAGCGCCTCCTTAGCCGTGATGCTGCGGTTGCAGGAGGAGCACAGTGTGGTGGACGACACTGTCAGGGAGGTGAAAAGGTGACCGTTGCTAGACCGGGCCTCCCTCTCTCTTGCCTCCTTCTCTCTCTCCTTCAGACGCTCCTTCTGTTTATTCTGAACACACAGAATCAGATAATCAATAGTGTTATTGATTATTAGCTTTGAACCCGTGTGACCACAGGTGAGCTCAGTAAGATTCAGCTGTAATGAATAGATGAACAGAATCAGTTCTGTGCTTTATCAGAGCACGTTTCTAGTTTCTGTCTTTGTGCTACAAAACAAAGAAGTGAGCAGAGGGGGGAGGGGGCAGTCTAATACCTGGAGACCTCCTGTCTGCTAGGGGGGAGGTTAAATCATGGAGCCTCAGCTGCATTCAGGTACTTAGAGGCATAAAGCTGCTCATATATCACAGGTGTATCACCGGTGCATGGATGACTAAATGTGAGGTTAGTGAATCAGTTGACAGCCTGCTTAACAACCTAAACTAACAAGGAAACAACTGTTTATTCTTTAATTAACTACAAAACTCATGTTGACCCGATAGAGGCACCAGTGGAAGGTCAGCATCACCACAACTCATTCTTTCATCAGCTCAACAAATGAAGCTTTACAAACACAACCTGTACAACAACAGCACAGCACAACAACATTTAAAATGTGGTTAAGCACAATATCCAAACAATTTACACACTGTGGACAATTTGTCCGTCAGTCATTGTCTTTGTCTTTCTGAACTTCTTCTTTCTATTTTGTTTATCTTTCTTGAACTGGGCGGAGCAGGAAGAGGAAGTGTGTGTGTTTGTGTGTCTCTGTGAGGACCAGCTTCAGAGCGTGTTCCAATACCACCACGCTGTGCGACATACTACAACAACATTCAATTCAACCAGTACGTCAAAAATACTCGGATGTCTTACATCATCTGGTTTCCTTCTGCACTTTGTAGTCAATGACTTTCTCATTTATTCTTCAAAAGTTAAACATTTAGCAGTTCAGCAAAAAACTTTTTTTGGACCCACAATCCTTTGCAGGAGTTACATCACATCCGTTGTCAGTAGAAATGAATCTTATGGCAGCTGATTTCTCACTGCGACAGTCTGTGTTGAAGTTTTGTGATGAGGAAGTAACACATGAAACAGCTGCAGTACAAACTGACAGGAAAACACAAAGCATGAGAGCAACGCCTCAGTGTCAGGTTCTGGTTCTGGATCAGGTTCAGGATCAGGCTCTGAAGATTTCTCATCAATCATTCTAATTGTTCTCTTAAAAGATGAATCTAAAACTTTTTTTAAAAAATCAATGGAAGGATCAGCAGCTACATATACCTCTGATAGATGAATTTCATAAATATTTTTGAAACACAGCAGCTTTCAGAGGGAACATTTCATCAACTATAACTGAACATTCAGCAGTAAAATCAGATTTTACTCTTCTACACAGAAATCCTGATCATTTTAATTAAACTCAGTCACACCTTCACCTTTTACTGGTGAACAAGCTGAAAACAATGGTTGTGTTGTTGTGCTCATGTTGTGTCATGTCTCTTTTGGCCAACAGTTGGAGCGAGTTTAAGCAGCTGCAGTGCATTATGGGTAGGCGGACTGCCCTGTGAGAGAACTGATTGATCCAACGTATTCTACAAGAAACTCGTCCATCAAGTCTCTCATCATTTCCTCTTCCAAGTGGTTTAAAGCAGAAACGTTCACGTCCAACTGGACCTGGACCTCTGACTCACCTGGTACCTGACACATGATGATGAGGATGATGAAGATGATACATTTTCACACAGAAACAGGTTTTCTTGTGTTTTCATGCTTCGATTTTATGTTTCTGTTTCATTGTTTGTTGCTTGTTGTTTCAGAATTATTTTAACTTTCACCTGTTTCTCTGATCAAAACACCAACAGCAATAAACTGAAAGACTCGACTCCGACTCCCACAATGCATTTCACTACCAGCCAGCCAATCATAGAGCTCCACACCGTGCCGATCCTACAAACCATTAAAAGCAATTTTTAGAAACTCAATCAAACATTTTCTCTTTTTCCTTTTCCTGTCTTGGTGAACTGAAGCTTTGTTTAAAAAAAATGCAGGCTTTAACATGTTTTAAACAGATGAATTGATAATTTAATGGTCAGTTCAACATTGATAATTGATAATAATGAGAAGATCTATTTATTGATCTGTAAACTGACACATAATACGTGTAAATGGTTGAAACTGTTTCAGAAAGTGGTGACAGTCAGCGATCAGCTGATCAATAGATAAAGAGCTCAGTGATGAGGAGAATAAAGAGGCCTCTGTCTGCTGGGCATCATGAGACAGAGCTGAGGTTTAACCAGAGAGAAGCTGCAGTCTGAGAGAACAAACTCAGGTAACTGATCCCAGATCTTTATTCACCTGGGAGTCATGTGACCTGGCTCTGTGTGACCGTTATCTACGTTTCCAAACAGAGGGAACACAAAGAACAGGACTTTCTCATTTATTCTGCAAAAGTTAAACATTTAGCAGTTCAGTCTGAAGCTGAACAGACTCTGGGCTGTTTCAGTAGGAAATAAACTCAACATGAAGCCGAATATATATGAAGCTGCAGTAACCTGCTAAAATGTAAAAACAGCTGCTTCTGCTTCCTGGTCTCAAGGCTGTTTAACAGCAGCGGACACGCCTGATTGGACGGCTGTTGTTGTGTTTAGCGCCAGTGATGGACACGGTTTCCTGATGTCAGTGAATGTTTGTCAACATGTTCGACATGTTTCTGCACAATAACCCTGAAACCGTCAAACATCAGATCATTCTTTGTACAACTGCACAACTGAACCACAACAGAAACCGATTCCAGATTCATCATGTCTGTGGGAACTGGTTGGTTGATTTCTATTTAAACATGTAACATGTTGAAGATGATTGGTCCTTCTCTGATGGTTCCTCAGTAACGTGCTGCTGAGGTTCTCTCCTCCCATTGGTCAGAAGTGAGTACAGATCACCGTTCATCCAGGCTAATCATCACCTGATGGTCAGCTCGATGTCAGGCCACCTCCTGTCGGGGGTTTGTGATGTGGTTTTGGTGAGTTTCTATGTTCAGACAAATCAAAATCCAACCAACCAGAGTCTGACTCGCTACAGCTGAACAACAACAACACAACAGTGTGGCAGCAGTTGCTGACTGATATAAAGCAGCTCCATACTGTGAGAGTGTCCTGCCTCTTTAAATGTGGCAGCTGTTGACTGTAGTTCAAATTAAATATGAACTCAGATCAGATCAGACTGTTCAAACTGTGGCTCTAATTAAGTTGTGATGATTTTTAATAAACTGTGTTTGTACATGAAACACTGCAAAGCTGTAGGTAAATATTTTATCATTCATATTGACGTACCTCTTCTATAATCGGCACAAAGCAAACATTTTTTCTTTTCTTGTTTTAATCACAGCGCTACAAGTTTTTGTTTCCTCGCAGAATACCTCAAACATGGTTCTTCAACAAAACCGGATAAATTTATTTAGTGAATCAGTGTTCAGGGTGATGTTCTGCTTGAAGAGAACCTGAAGATGGATCATCTGTCCTGAATACCGAGGAACAATGAGGAACACTGTAAAATAGCTGTAATTTACAATCTTCAGAATGTTTCTCGCGAATTGCCTATGATAAATGAACTAATTTCCTGTTTGTTCATTGTTTTATGTTAATGACATTAAATGTTTATGTTAAATTAACTATTTTCAACAAAGTTTAAATATTTAAGTCAGCTGTATTTAGGCGACTTAGTTTTTAAAAATGAAATAGCAGTTTGACTGATTTTACCTGAAATCACAATCAAAACACAATTTATGGTGAAAAAAAATATTTTTGCAGATGAACTCTACTTGGTGTTTCAATCCCATGATGCACCTTGTCATAGTCATGTGGCAACAGCTGAAGGTAAAATCGTCGCTGGGTGTCTGGCATCACACAGAGAAGTGACGTCACTATGTACTTGAGGGCAAACAAACCAATCAGACCCTCCATCACTGTTTAGCCTCAATGACTAAAGAGGAGCTGATCACTGATCAATAGTCTCGTTGGAGAGGATTCAGATCTGATCATATTCAGTCAGCAGCTGGACAGATTTCAGTTCAGTTCACTGTGATGTCATCGGTACATCGATGACATGTGCAATCAAGATGGCTGCATGTTTTAGTCAGGTGACCTGACGACATGGTGGAATTCACCTGATCTAACAGCTGATTGGTTTAGATGTTAATTCAACAATGAGACTTTTCATCTAAGTTGATTTTAAGAGATTTTATTCATTTGATGTTGAACATTTGTTCTCCATGTGTGGTTTATCAGTCACATCACAAACTGAATATACTATTTATATAAATATAAACTCTCGGCTCATTTAACAACAGTAGCTCCTTCTGATATTAAAATAACCGACACTCTCAATATCTGATGGATCAGTAACAAAGCTGCTGTATTGTATTTCTTTCTACTGTATTTGACTGTTTATCAGCGTTTTTTTTTGTTCTTGTTTATTTCTGTAGTTTGACAGGTTTGGTGTCATGATTAACCTGATCTGATGGAGGTTTAACCATGAGCAAAAATTAGATATCATAGATCACAGATTACAAACACAAACCAGTGAGTGTCTGTTCAGACTGAATAAAACCGTCCGTCTTTTACGTGCCGCAGTCTGATCTGATCCAATCTGATCTGATCGCATTACAGGCACAGCTCATCTCCAACAAACCTATTGGTTCACATGCATCCTGTGACACAACTCTTTGTAAAGTCATGTGGCCACACAGACTCACTGCAGTCTGATGAGATAAGCACAACTTTTATTCTGAAGTCCTCACAGTTGATTAACACAAGCACAAACTCTTTCAGATCTGCTCTCCTTTAAGCGATTTAAGAGGTTTCTTTTCACATTTCAGCTCCAACATTGGTCCAAAAACATCAGAGGGAGCAAAAATCACAAACACGTTCATCACCTTGCTTTACATTTTCACATCTATTGCAGAGTCTGAGCTTCATCACAGCATTTATATTTTACTGTAAAAGTCTGATTTATTGAATAAAGTCTAAATATCTGTGTTTCATTCAGATATTTGTCTTTTCACAGTCTCACAGCAGGATATGTGCAGCAGTGACATTATTGTGTGCATCACTGCTTCCTATATTTAAATATAGAACATGACTTAATCACCAAAGTAACCACGAAAGCACAGCAGCAGTGAGCAACAGTGAACACACAGTTTTCTGTAGCTAGATTATCATCACAGGGACAGAAGTTTGACTGAAATGATAAACTGTTTAGTCTTTGGAGAGTTTGATAAACGTAAAGTGTCTCAATGACAGGATGTGTCACTTTCACACACTGATGGAATGCAAAATATTTTATTATTAATATTATCATACTTCCATAGCTAGGTTTTACAAAGTCATCATCACGCATGCCATCAGTGGCAAAGGGTCAAAGTCAAACAAAGGTGCTCATCTGCCGTAAGGGGCAACTTAAAGTTCAGTGTCACCAACCTGTCAATTAGAGGACAACCTGCTCTCCCACCTGAACCACAGCCACTATGTTACAGACCACTTGTCTGAAAAAGCTATGTTGTAATAGCCCCTGGCTATGAGAAGGAGGCTTCTTCAGTCAGGTATTGACGGGCCAGAATGGCTGCAGCTGTAGCAGTTACACAACCAAAACCTTGGGTGTGGGAGAAGTTTGGGGAGGCTATGGAGAAAGACTTTCAGTTGATCTCAGGGAGGTTCTAGCAAACCATCTGATGCCTAAGGAAAGGAAGGCAGGGCTTGGCCCAGGCTGTGTTCGGCTTGGCGGAAAGAGCACTTTGAGGAGCTCCTAAACCCAGTTAACATGTCTTCTGTGGATAAGGCACAGTCTGAAGGCTTGGGGGAAGTCTCATCCACATCCATGGCAGAGGCCACTGATGTAGTTAAGGAGCTCTTGGGTGGCACAGCGCCAGGTGAGGAAGATTGAGGTCTGACATCCTGAAGGCTCTGAACATTGTTGGACTGTCTTGGCAGACATGACACTTCAATGTTGTAAAGTTATTGGGGACATTGCCTGTGGAGTGGCAGACCGGGTTGGTGGTTCCCATTTGCATAAAAGACAGACTGGAAGGTATGCTCTAATTATCAGGGTATCACACTCCTCAGCCTCCCTCGGAAAGTTTATACCACAGTTTTGGAAGGGAGGCTCCAACAGATTGTTGAACCTCGGATTCAGTAGGAGCAATACCTGGTGGAGGATTCAACAGGAGTACAGGGTACTGGTAAGAGCTCTGTATATATTCTTGGTGCAAAATCAAATACTTTTCCAGTGGGTGCTGGACTCTGCTAGGGTTGCCCCTTGTCTCTGAACCTGTTGGTGACAATCATTTACGTGATTTAAGGTACAGCCAGGGTGATGAGGGTGTCTGGTTTGAAAACCTCAAGATGTGTCTCTGCTTTTTGCAGATGATGGGGTTCTGTTGGCTTCATCAGACTGTGACTTCAGCAGGATTGGAGCCATTTGTTGCTGAGTGTGAGGCGACCTGGATGAGAGTAAGCATCTCCAAGTCTGGGGCCATGATTTTGTGCCAGAAACCAGTGGATTGCTCCTTTTTGGTTGGGGGTGAATAACAGGAAAACGAAACATGAAATGGACAAATCATTGCAGCATCAGCAGTAATGCAGGCATTGCACTGGACCACTGTGGTGAAGAGGCAGGTTTGTCTTCTGGCTCAGCTCTTAATTTACCAGCTGATCTACACTCCAACCCTCACCAATAGGCAAGAGCTCGGGTGAGACTGAAAGAATGAGACACAAGCAGCTGACATGTGTCTCCTCTACAGGATGTCTGGGCTCAGCATTAGAAAGACTGAGGAGCTTGGACATCCAGAGGAAGGTTGCACTGGAATCACTGCTCCTTCGAAGGAGCCAGCTAAGGTGGTTCGAGCATCTAGTCAGGATCTTACTGGGTGACTTCCTTTTGAGGTTTTCTGGGCACACCCGGCTGGGATGAGACCCTGGGGTAGACCCAGAGATTAGGGATGGGTATCGTTACATTTTAAAGTGACTACTACTGTTACCAATACTGCTTATCAAACCAGTACTTTAATGGTATTCTTATTGGTACTTTTTGATTGTTTTGGTTTATTTGTTTGTTTTGTTTTAAAAGAGTAAAAACTAAACATATTAACAACAGAAAAAAGATTGCTTTATTATTTCAAACACACTGTATATGAATATAAATGTTAAAACATTTATATAGACACTAATGTTGGGTTGATGGGAATGATCAGAACACTGTGGACAGTGTCAAAGTCTTTACTCACAAAATTATGCATTGTGTTTCATTACACTGTGCAACAGAATTAAAAGCTCCACCCTGAACAGAAATTAGGTAAACGTCATAGACTGATGATAAAACCTGTTTCACTCTTCACTTTTGAGTATGAAATGAATACAGGACTTTGACAGTATTTTTACTGTGTGATTTTAATAGTTTAGTTAACAGGTGAAGTACTTCTTCTGCCACTAATAAAAAACATTCAGATGGAGATTGTAAAAATGAGGTAAGACAGAGTTTGTCTGCAGCCGTCAAGTTACTAAATCCTGCTGCTCTGAAAGTGAAACTAAAATTCTGAATGACAGATGAGACGATGCCCTAAATTTCAGGTTGAATTTATGAACACAGTAAGTTAAACAAACGGCTGGAGAATGCATCATTTTAATCATTAGTCTATGTTCGTGAAATGTGAGTAACTCCATTTGTAGGCTGCATAACAAACCTGGTCAATGAGGGATGGACTACGAGCTCAGCAGTCAAATGGTACATTTCTTAGTCTGTATGTGATGAACTTTTACTGAACGTTTTCGACGATTACGAGTGTTTCTGCTCTGACATGCAAACAACATGGTACTTTTGTGGCAACAAACATTTTCTGCATCAGTTTTACTGAAGTGTGTTAGTACTTTTAAATGTTTGTCACCTGTGTGCTGCACAGAGCTGCACTGACCCTCAGACACCAGGTGTTCTGTCTGTCGAAGCTCCAGACTCCAACAGACAGAACACCGTTTTGGATCTGAATAGCAAAAGTGCATCACAGACACATCAGACACGTCTTATGGCGATGAGATAGAATGTGCAACACAACGTTCTTCTTGCTTCCTAATGTCCCGTCAACAGAACCGTTAATGTCGGAGCTTATTGATCTTCTGGTATTTTAAAATGTTACCGCGGGCCTCATCTGTTAGTACCCATCCCTACCAGGGACTACTTATTTCATCTGGCCCGGGAATGCCTTTGGATGCCCCTGGAAGAACTAGAAAGTGGAGCTAGGAAGACAGATGTCTAGAATGACCTTCTTCACCTGCTGCTACCAAGATTTGATGCCGGATAAACTTATGAAAATGGATGTTACAGATCAGCTGTCTGAAAGGAGCTTCGGTTTTATATCAGTTTCAACTTGTCGTCTCTCAGGAACTCCAACAATCTGACAAATAATAATCAGATCATCTGGAACAATGACTTTGATGTGACTGTTTTAAAGATGTGATAAATCTTCTGACTGTTTCCATCTGTTTTTTTGTTTTTTTTTATGAAAACAACGAAAATTTGTCAGTTTGAGTTCATCTCATGAATCAGAGTTTCAAAGAGCAGCAAATTTTTGTTTAGATATTTTGGAATTTAAAAAAAAAACTAATCCTCATTTTATCAAATCCGTCTGTCTCTCTGTCTGTGTTTCTGTCTGTAAACAGATTTTATGTTTTAGTTCAGAGGTCAAACATCCACCTTCACTCCTGACAACACTTCCTGTATGACACACACACGCACACATTCACACACATGCACAGACACACACACACACACACACACACACACTCCCCTCCCCCCGCCTCGTTTCCTCCTGCAGGACAAAGCGGCCACGCTGCTGCTAACGGACACACCGGACACACCGAACACACCGAAACACACCGAAACTCAGTCGGCACACTCTGATCACACGAACGGACACACACCGTAACGCGCAAAGCGTAACACACACGCTGTAACACACACGCGCTGTAACACACACGCGCTGTAACACACACAGACGGACACACACTCCTGGTCGGTCTGAACGGAAAGAAAAGTGTTTCCCGTTTTTTCTCAGAGCTGAAACTTTGACCATCACATCACAGACACACACACACTCACACACACGCACAGACACACTCCGATCATTTAGCAATTATCAATGATTGGTCCTGGAGAACCTTTGGTCTTCTGTAACGGAACTGGCGGTGTTTTCCAGATGTGAGCAGACAAAGCGGAACAAAGTGACGCGGGGCTTTCGGCTCTTCGTCTGATCAATAACTCCGTCTGATCAGCTCCAGATCGATCCCTGATATCCTGATCGATCAGTAAAGTGAGGTGCACGCGCCGTGAGTGTGTTTGTTGAGTTTTTTGGTGCGCTCACCTTCAGATTTATTTCCTTCATCCTGTCCTGCCTTCGGCTCTCCAGCAGCCGAGACATCCCACCAATCCGCGAATAGATCCTGATCAATAACCGATCAGTTCCCAGCCTCAGTAATAATCCGGTAACACGGTGCTGGTTCTGGTCCCGGAGCAGTCCGCAGTCTGAGCCGGGGGGGCGGGGCTTTGCTCTGACTGACAGTTGCGCTCCGTACTTCTGATCAATCAGGACTCAGCCCGCTACAGCCGCCTGCAGCAAATCACGTCGCCGTTCGCGCTCTAAGCCCCGCCCGTCTTCATCAGAGAGCGCTTCTTTTGATCACCAGTGCAGTGACGTGGCAGTGATGGACGGAGTCAGTCTCTATGACAACGTGTCAACGTCACGTGATCCACAGCAGCCAATCAGAGGACCGTGGAAGGTCACGTGAGTAACGAACATGGGTGACCGATAAACCCCGCCCCACTATAGAGGAGTGAACAACAGCTGCTGTGTGACGTGGAACCCCAGAGAACTGACCCCGCCCACCGCAGACAAAAGCGGCGTGTGACGGTTCTTGAACCGAACAAACCTCGCACTACAACGGACACACAAAGACACCGGAGACCACTACACTGATCAATACACGAGCCAATACACTATTAAATACACAAACCAATACAGTATTAAATACACGAACAATACACTGTTAAATACACGAACCAATACACCAATCAGTGACTGATTGTGATAGCATAGTGTATTATTACTAAAGTACAGTGGGTTTGAACTACAGTACAATGTGTTACAACTACTGTGCAGTGTATCATTACTACAGTGTAGTCTGCTCATACTACAATGCATTGTGTTGGTACTACAGCAAAGTGTATTTTTACTACAGTAGGGTGTGTCAGTACTACAGTACAGTGTGNTTTTACTACAGTAGAGTGTGTCAGTACTGCAGCATGATGTATTTTTACTACAGTTCAGTGTGTTAGTACTACAGCACGGTAAATTTTTTTACTATAGTAGAGTGTGTCAGTACTACAGTACAGTGTGTAGTACTATAATAAAGTGTATTTTACTACAGTAGAGTGTGTCAGTACTATCATACAACACAGAGACCATGTGACGGCTGCAGCCTGTGAATACAACATCTGTTCACATCTGGTACTGACTGACACTGTTACCCTGACAACCAGCTGCAACACATTACACAGGGAGGGAGGCAGCGATGTCATCCTGCTGACCTCAGAACCAACCAATCAGCTGACAGCTACACCTGCTGACAGCACAACAACTACACCTGTGTGTTGAGTACTGTATGACACGAGTACATGTAACGTAGTACTCTATATGAGTCCTGCATGATATTAGTACTTGTTATAGAGTACAGTGTATGAGCACTGTATGACACTGGTGCATGTAACGTAGTGCTCTATATGAGTACTGCATGATACTATTGCCTGTAACAGAGTACAGTGTATAAACACTGTATGATACTGGTACATGCACCATAGTACTCTATATGAGTACTGCATAATACTATTGTTTAAAACATAGTACTGTGTATGAGTACTGCGTGATACTATTGCTTGTAACAGAGCACTGTGTATGAGTACTGTATGATACGAGTACATGTAACATAATACTCCATATGAGTACTGCATGATGTTAGTACTTGTTATAGGGTACTGTGTATGAGTACTGTATAATACTGGTACTTGTAAAGAGTATTCTCCAAGAGTACTGTATAACACCAGTACTAGCAACAGAGTACTCTGTGCGAATACTATGTGATAATTTTGCTTGTAACAGAGTACTGTATGATATTAGTACATGTGACATAGTACTCTGTGTGAGCCCTGTATGATACTGGTACATGTAACATAGTACTCGGTATGACTACTGTATCAGTTACTTGTATGTGAACATTTGTCGGCAGATTTTTTAGCTCCACTTTCCCTTTAACTCACCTGACCAGCCACACCTGAGCTGAACTTCCGGAGAGTTTCACCACAACAGAAGACGAGGAAGAACAACAACAAGCTGAACAGAGAACCAGAAGAACAAGAAAACCAGAAGAAGCACAAGATAACCAGAAGAAGAACCAGGACCAGAAGAACAACCAGGAACTGAAACGGGATCGGGAACGGGACCGGGACTAGGACCAGGACCGGGATCTGAGCTTCTCTGTGAGTGTTTCTGCACTTTAACCTTTCGCTCCGTTAGCATGTTAGCTCGGAGATACATACCTTCCCTGCCAGAGAGTATTGATCGACCTCTCTCTAAATATCGTTCACAGTGTTTCAAAGAACTGATCAAGAAACTCTCTGCAGGTAAAACTGAGGCAGGTGGTGACGTATTGATCACCTTTATGTCTACTAGTAGTAAGTCGGTTTGATCCGAAACGTCTGGTATGTTACAGTCGGACTTCATGTGGTGGGCGGGGCTTACGCTACCTGCGGCTGTTCAATTAACGTGCAGGTAAACAGGTGATAAGAGACAACAGGTGACAGAAACAAACAGCTTCAGGGGAGCTGCAGACTCACCTGCAGCAAAAAAGCACTGTGACGCAGCTTCAACATATCCAGACTTTCTTTGTGTAAACTGTGTTAACAAAACCTAAACTCCAGTCAGAGATTTGAGGGATCAGAAGGTTGTTGTCACCTTTTTTATTAATAATTGACAGTGGCACAGTAAAGCTGTTAAACTTTACCCTTCATATATTTAAACATGATATTGTATTAGAGCGCATCTAGAGCTAACACTGTCCCATGACGCCGGATAGCACTTAAATTTTTGTTCAAATCAAAAGAAATGAATGTTATTGATTTATTAGTCTCTGTACTAAATACTGATGGTATATCAGCTGCCGTACCAGCATGTAAACAGATGGAGCAGCAAATCAGGACCAAACATAAAGACATGTTTATGTGATTATTGCATCACAATTTGTTTAAAGGGAAACACTTTTTTACAGCCGTTTTAAAACTAAAATTTGAACAGAACCTGCCTCGGACCAGGTTAGCTCCACAGCATCAGTTACCACGGTGATCTAGCAAGTTAAAAGAGAGCCACCTTCGTCATACTGAAAACTATGACTTCAGGCTTAATATCTGCTGACACATAAATCCCAATTCGTAGTTCAGCCCTCTGGTCTCATGTGAGCTGTCAGCTTCATCCATGACATCACCTTACCTGTCTGTGTGTCACCTGTCTGTGTGTCACCTAAGCTAATGAAGCCTATGGTATGTGGACCGCTGTGTATGTGTATGCAATGCGAGGTGTGCCAGATGAGCTGCTGCTGTCATACAAACCGTCATGAGCTGGAAGCAGGTGACTCTGCAGTGATCAGCGATTGATCACTAAACTGACCTAAACAATGAAACTGAGCCGATTGTCAGCTGTCTTCTCCTACAAACACAGTAAACCTGAGAAATCACCTGCTGTATGACTGAAGTAGGATGCAGGCATCAGCCGACAGAGAACAACAACAGCCTGGATCTGCACTGTGCAATAAAACCGATTTTAGTCATAGTTCTGCCACAAATATTCCACCAGAACACTTCCACCGTCACACACTTCGCTTAGTTCCGCACACAACTGTGATTGGTTTAAAAGCAATACAAACAAATCAGAGCGTTTTGTCAGACCAGTGTTCACCTGCTGCTGCAGCACAGGTGAGACACTAACCTGCAGAGCAACGTCACCTGTGAAACTCTGCACACCAATCGTCATCACACTCTACGAACATGTACAGAGTACTCTGTAGAGCTGCAAGATACTAGAAATTTAACAGAGTACTTTCTATCGGGGATAATACTTGTCGTTATATGATTTAATTGCTGAAACTTGACACACCTGAACGCTGCGACTCTCTGATGGACCAACTGTCTCTCAGACTAAGAAGTCTGAATTCATTCATTGATTAATGTCTGCTGCTCGTCTTTACCTGCGTCACTGTTTAGCTGGTTTATCTGACCAACGTTCTCTGTTGACAGAAGATCGGCCTGAAGAATTCCATCTCCTGACAGGAAGTACCATATGAAGGATAGTGGGGGGATGAAACAGGAAGAGGATGAGGTGGTGAGGACCGCAAGGATGGAGCCCAGCACCTTGCAGTGGCCCGCACACAGAGAGACAGGTGGTCAGACCAGTAAACAGACAGGTAATGGGGACAGGATGAGTGTGAGGTCAGACATGTCTCTCCGTGAGGCATCCAGTTGGACAGAAAGTGAGAGAGAGCTGAAGGCAGAGGGGGAGAGCAGGGGGCTAGGTAAAGAGGCGGGGCTAATGGGAGAGGGGGCGGGGCTGAAGACACACTTGGAGGAGGAGCCTGAGGAGAACCACCTGCCAGAGAAAGCAGCTCAGGTGTTTAGTCCTGCAGTAACTGTACTCCCATCCCCATCCTCACCCAGAGACAGTGAGGCATTCTGGGAAATGGGGTCAGAGAAGAGTCCCTTCCTAGGTCCTCAAGAACCCCAGGACTATAACCAACATGGCTACCAGTACGAGTGGACTGAGGACACACCCCATGCCAGATGTAAGGTCCTCACCTGTCTGTCTTAGATTGTTGGGTTTCCACCTGTCTATCTGTCTTACTGTCTCTCTCACCTGTCTATCTGTCTTACTGTCTCTCTCACCTGTCTATCTGTTACCGGTAGGCGGGGCTTTAGCTTGTCTGTTTGTCTCACATTTCTGTCTCAACTATCTGTCTCTCTGTCCCCTGTTTCACCTGTCTGTCTCAGCTGAATGAGGTTTTAACGTGTGTCTTTCTCACCTGTCTGCCTCAGGTGGGCAGGGCTGTCCCAGCAGGGATGTCCTAAAGGTGGGTGTGTCCTTGATGACTTCAGCAATGTTATTCCCATTCCTGGTGTGGGGGGGTTATGTCTTCCTGCCATTTGACGCCCCCCTGATGGACAGCGCCCCCCTCAGACTCGTTTACACGCTGCGCTGCTCCGTGTTTGCCGCCGCCCCCATTGTCCTCGGTGAGTCCAACACCACCGAAGAAGTGATGCAGCAGTTCACACTAAAACTGTCCCTGAGCATCACATCTGTCCATGTCTCACATGTCTGTGATTCACCTGTCTTTCAGGCTGGCTGGTTCTGGGTGTCAGTCGGCTCAGGTCAGGTGGGATTCGGCCTCTGTTTGATGATGAGTTGAAGGAGGGGGAGCTTCAACAGGTCGAGGTCCATCGTCGGTTTGTTGCTGACTCCGCCTCCTTGTTCCTGATCTACTTCCTGCAGCTGGTTGTCATGGCGATGTACCTGAGCCAGGAGCAGCTGAAGCTTGTCCCACTGCTGACCATCGTTTTTGCCTTCGGACGGTGAGGTTTACAATGAACCATGGATAGATCAATAAACAGAATGATTATTATACAGAAAAATCAACATACAGAATGATCAATAAACAGAACAATCAATAAATAGAGTGATTTCATAAACAGAACAGTCCATAATCAAAGCTGATTGATCAATCCCTGCAGGTTGGTTTACTGGGTTGCAGCAGCGTTTGGCAGCAGCGTTCGTGGTTTCGGGTTCGGACTCTCCTTCCTGCCGAGCCTCGCCATGATGGTGGCAAACTTCTACTTCATCTTCACAGTGGAGGCGGCGTCGTCCATTTTCAGCTCAGCATCTGAGGAGCTGCCAGCTCCGCCCCCTGGCAAACAGAGGTTCTGGGGATGAAAGATAATCAGTAATCAATAACCTTTAATCCTAAAGGATGAGAACTGATCAGTGATCAATGACTTTGTGACTTTTGATGACAGATTTTTTAAGCTGTTTCTCACTGTTTAGTTTTTGATTAACCTGTTTATTTTATTTTGTAAATTCTGTTATATGATCAATGCTATTTGTAATCAATACATTAAAAAACAACAAAATAACTTTGTATCTCTTTCTGTAATTTTCCAACAAATCAGTTCTTTTCAGATACTTTAATGTTCCTCACAGCTTCATTTTAGTCCGCCAGATGGATAGAACAGCCAGTGACATGTCACACAGAATGAAAAACTAGAGAACTAATGTACCCAATAATTTACCTGCAGCTGATAAACAGTGACTTTGACAGCTCACCTGTCTGAGGGGAACAACATTAAACAGGTTCTGTTAGATCCTGTGTCGTTGGGTTTCCATGTCAGGGATCAATTATCAGTGATTATTTAAGTTCCTGCTTTGAATGTGAGCAGCTTCTCTCTCATATGAATCCTGCTGCTGTCTGATGCTGCAAATATGAAATAAACTGAGAGGAAAAACTCCTAAACAACTGGAAGCAACAAACTGAACTTGAAACCTGGACCACGTTCATCACTGATGAGTCTCATTAATCTGACCTGTCACATATTCTGTCTTCACTGCAGTAAAGCTTGATTTAAAAAAAATATTTCAGTGTGTAACAGATGTGAAATTGTGGATCAACGTGAATGAGAAAGGCGTTTGTAATTTGTGCTCTGTGATGTTTTTGAACCAATATCAGAGCTGAAATGTGAAATTAACATCTTTAGGTCGTGTGTGTTATTGCAGTTCAGACTGTGTTCAAAGTGAGCTGAGTCAGATTGAGACCTGATTAAAAAACCCAGCTCATTCAGACATGAAAACATTTAGAAATGTAAAACTCTAATCCAACATATAATTAATGAAAAAGTTCTTTCCCACCATTTTTTTTTTTTGCAAAAACTGATTTTAAATAAGATATGATCTATTAATTGACCCCAAAACTTACATTTTACATGGTTTTAGGATGAAACTCTCAGCCTGTATGAATTGATCAGATTTCTATTTATAATTCACCGTTAGCGCTTCAGCCAAGTGAAGCAATTTTTCAAGGTGAAGCAGTTTTTCCAGGTGAACCAGTTCACCTACACACAGGAAGTACAATACTCTGGCTTCAAAAATAAAAGCATTATTTGATCGTGTAAATGTAAATATTCTAAAAACCATCTGTAAAAGGATTTTTTTAAAAAAATGAAACGTGATTGACAGCTGTTTCTGAAGTTTTATTGAGTTGATGTTCATAAATTAATAATGACACATGGTGTAGTGAACACAGCTGACAGATGAATTCTGCAGGTGTATAGGAGCACACAAAAACAGTTTAAAGTTACTCACTGTGAGGCGTCAGTGAAAGATCAATAACTTCTTTCAACAGTTTTCTGATCAGGGGTCAATAAACAGGATTACTCATGAAGGGTGTTCGCATTTTACTTGTTCTGTTCATGATTCTTCCGTGTTTCACCTGATCTGATCTTTTATTTTGAAGGTTCAGGTGTGTGGCTAGACTGTATTTGTTCTCTGAGGTCTTCGCAGTCTCAGGAGCTTCTGAACGGACTGTTTCTGCTCAATCAACTCGCTCCGACGGAGTTCTGCTGCTTTAATCGAAGCTTTTCTTTATGGAGTCTCTGCCTGTGAGGAGGAGGTCGTGTCTGCTACGGCTCAGAGCAAACTGTCCCTTTAGGAAGCTCCGCAGGAGATCCTACGGTCAGTCACCGCTGAGAGAACATCTCATGTAGCTTTAATGAGCTGTGTGCTCACGGGATTAAACTGGTGGTTCTTAGACTCAGCCTGGACCCAGACTAGAGTATATTCCAGTTTTAACAGTGTAGTTATTCCAGTTTACATACAGCTGAACTATTTAGGTTTAAATAAAGTCCAGTTTATTCAAGTGGGGGAAAAAAACAATTGTATATAATATATAAATATAATTTGTTGGCACCGTAATAAGCTGTGCACGTTCACGTTTATATTATTAAAAGGTGAGGGTCATTCAAGTTTAAATAAAGTGTAGTTATTTCGGTATAAATCTTTTTTTTTTAGCTATAGTTTTTTTTAATGCCAACCTAAATAAAGTTTAGTTATTCAAGTTTTTTTCAAGTTCAGTTATTTAGGTTTAAATGATATTCACTTATTTACCTCCAAATTTAATGTATTTTTCTCAATTTAAATAACGTTTGTTCAAGTTTAAATAAAGTTTATATAATCAATTTTGTTTATTTAAGTGTACATAAAGTTTGGCAGCCTGTATGATTAAATAAAGTTTATTTATGTGTAAATAAGGTGCAGCTATTCAAGTGCAGGTAAAGTTTGGCCATTTAAATAAAGTTTATGATTTCGCATCGTCCTCTGTCCACTCTATCCCTAACTGTCCGTCTCAGGTCTCACTGCAGTATTGTGAACCTTCTTTTTCACTGTCTCCTCTCAGACGTTCTCCACCTGCCTGTCTCTCTTCTGTTCCAGATGTTCTTCTGCTGTTGCTTTAAACAGGGTTCCCTTTCTCTGCTTCATGCAGCTGCTTTCTGTCTTGCTCCCACTGACTTTCAGGTTGTTTATGAATCTCTGATCCTATTCATTATTCATCAATCGATATGATCACTGATGATACATAAACTGCCTGTGGACCAAATGACCTGACCTCTGACCTTTCATCACGTCTTGTTTCCTGTTGAACAGACGTGTCAGCAGCATCCTCTACTCCCATCGGTCCAGACTGGAATAACGTCAACCTTCCTACTAACAACCAGCTAGTCAACACAGTTTGTTCTCCCAACCAATCAAAGGCCAACTTTCACATGGAAGAAAATCCTCCATCTGTAGCAAACCAGCAGAACCAGCAGCAGAATCAGCTGAACCGGGAGAACCAACAGCACAACCCAGAGAGCAGAGATGAAGACTGTATGGGTGAGTTGGTCAGGTTCCAGTTCTCTGTGAAAACGTCAACACAGGTAGCACGTTGGTAACAAACAGGTAGCACACAGGCAGCACACAGGTATGACACAGGTAACACACAAGTAACATACAGCTAACACACAGGTGTGACTAAGATATGACACAGGTAACACACAGCTAATACACAGTAATGACACAGCTAGCATACAGCTAGTCCACAGCTAGCACACAGGTAGCCCACAGCTAGCACACAGGTAGCCCACAGCTAGTACACAGGTAGCCCACAGCTAGCACACAGGTAGCCCACAGCTAGTACACAGGTAGCCCATAGGTATGACAAAGGTAACAGTGTTCCCAGCAGTAACAGACTAGGCCTCCCACTAACGTGTTTTTGTTCTTTCTTGTTTCAGAGCTCGATGATGACGTCGACCCTGAAACTGGAGAAAGAGCACAAGGATGAACCCGCCCCTACCTGTCAGTCACTACTGCCACGCCCCCATACAGATACACCTGTATGAGCAGTTTGTCTCTGTGGTTTAACCACGAATACACGGAACTTCAAAACTGAGATATTAAACTGCTTCCCGTGCTCTCGCCTGAATCACCTGTACTCACCTGGAGCAGGTGTCTGATTCTAAAGTGTTCGTCAGACTTTAATATTGTTTTATCTAAAACAATCAACCTCCAGTTAAAACGTTTGTCTTCTGACAGATTTAATGTCAGGTCTGATGTTCTCCTATGAAGAGTTATTAGTCATCAACACATTATCGATTATTAAACTGTTGGTGATCAGGTTGGATGAGAAAGTCTTCCAAGTTTTATGCTCTGAGGTCACAGATAAACTTTTTATCCTGAGTTTTTATGCTTGCTTTGTTTTTAGCTGATATTGTTATTGTTTTGTGATAAAGGTCAGCTGAGTTAAAAAATAAATATTATTTGTTAAAATGTGTGATTTCTTTATCTGAGTGAATGTAGAGCAACAGGGGGCTCAGCTTCATGTGATTTCATGAAGAGAAAAGTCTGTCAATGTACATCTGTTCCATCCTGCTCCTGTGAATGTTCACCTAGTTCCATCACGATATTCATCTTGTCTTCTCCCTCATGAATAATGAAGTAGACAATTGTAGTACAGTTGTAGCATTCATTCATTCGTTCATTCATTCATTCAGAAAGACCCTAGGCCTAGATTCAAACCAAGAACCTTCTAGCTGTGAGGCAACAGTGCTAACCACTGTACTATGTCGCCACCAGTTTTAGCACGTGAAAGGAAAAAGTACTAAGAATGTATTACATGTCTGAAACAGCTTAAAAACACTGTTTCAAACACCTGAACAAGTTTTGCAGCAAAACACTGACATAGATGATGTTTATCTGTCTGCTGCCTCAACATTGTGTTCCAAGTGGAAACATGAGCTGCATTGTTCCTTTATGTGGTTGGGTTTAAAAAGGGAGTGAGGATTTATGGTTTTATAAGGTAACCAGAGAC